AATTTAATTGCAATTATTAATTTCTACTGTTAGAATTAAATTGTATTAAGTGTTTGTTTAATAAACGTGGCAGTAAATATAACATATTTTTATAAGTTGTAATAAATATATATTTATTTTATCCTTGAATTAAGTGTTAATACTTATAAAACTTATGTTACATAAGTTATATATGCAAATCTATAAAGTTTTAATTGTTTTCCGAAGTTACTGAAGTTCAATGCTAACAAGTAAGTATTACAAATTTACCGCCATTTTCCCCTGTCACATAAAGATTACCCCGTACGATATGTTTATATTTAGCATATAATTAAAATACACTATTCATATTTTGAAAGTAATTGTGCAATGGTTATACGTATTACATATGTATTTTTGAATCCTTTTATAAAAATTACAAAAAAAGAAGTTTTAAGTTTAATAGAATGTTTTTATAGAAATTTTTATAAATTTTTAGATTAAACATTTGAAAGAATTTTTAACTTTTAATAACTTTTGTTTTTATATAAAAGATCAATGTATTTTACTTTAACTTACAACAGTTATTAATACCACAGAAATTTGCTGTCCAAATGAGTTCCTTATATCAATGACAGACTGTATACACGTTTGTAAGAGCTTATGGTACAAAAGAGCAGAAAATAAGCATTCTATAGGGAGAAATTTATACACTGATAAACTTATATCAATGATTCGTTGCACAAACAGTTAGAATATGGGAGAGAGATATAAAGTTCAAACAATTAACACTAAACAATATAGACAGGATTTGGATGTTTTTTGGATGCATTAGTCACATAAAAAAAGTAATTCTTGTTAAAACATGCAAATATAATTGAATTGAATTTATTAATTTTTATATAAGTAATGCATTCAAAAATAGCTAAATTTCGACACAGATGTATAACATACATATATTATTATATTATTATTAATTTGATTTAGATTGTATAAACAATAAAAATATTTTAAACAAAACTTCTCAACCAAGTTTTTTCTGTTATATTGTTAGAACGTTTTTACCACAAATTGTTTTCAAATGATAGGCAAAAACAACAAATCTATCAAAAAAATCTTTACTCTAGATTTGAATTTTTACATCAAATAATTTAAATAAACAATTAATATAACACTCAAATCATATTTAATCAAATCGTGTCTGTCTTTCACTATAAGTTTTACAGTAAAACGGAAAGAAAAATCAATACAACATAAATGTTTTAAAAATATTAATTTCTAGAAATTTCTTGAAATGGAAATTTATTTGTAATTAGAGATATTAAAGATATGTTCAATAAAGCATTGAATCATGCAATGAATGTGGTTTAAAGCATCCAAATCCTGTCTATTCCAAATGGTAAATAACGTAACGATATATAAAGATTTATTGATAAGCAAGGTATACCATATATAATGTCTAGGTAAAATTATGAAATCAGACGTTTTGTGAAAGAGTAATTTCAAGAATTTGCTAATAAAAGATGTGATAATCGCTTCACTACATTATATTCTTACAAAATGTTACATCATTTTTTTAATATTGTCATTGCTTAACAATTATTATGATCAACAATAATAACTTTATGTCAATATTTAACACTTACTCATAATATATAACGTTTTGACTTTTTGGCCTAAAAAATCTGACTCCAAATTAGATATATACTTTTACGTAACTTGACAATTTAATTTGAAATATATTTTTGGCGTTATCCTTAAATAACACTTTCCATTGAACCATTTAATTAATCTATCAATTGCCGCTAGATCAATTAATCATTCTATATGTTAATAATATTCTAATTTGCTAAATTATTTTAAATTCTAATTATTAGAGAAACTATAATTTATTAATTGTTAAAATCTTAATAATGTTTTTATAAAATATTGTCTAATATTTGCAACATCTTGCATTTATTTTCTTCAAAGAATTGACTAATAGTCATCCCATGTTAAGTATCGTATAGGATCCCATGTTAAATTTCATAGAGTGATCCTATAAACCACATTCTTAATATATGAATTGTTTTCATTTTATAATATTACTAACAACTAAAATTGGATGATAATTGTGCAATTATATATCAATAATAACAACTATTGTTAATAAATATAAGTAAATTATTATCATATTTCATAATTTGAAAAAATAAAAATTAATTTAAAAAGTATTTTATAAAAATACAATACAATTATAAATTATCAGCAAATGTTTTCCTATACAGGATGTAATTAGGATTTAACTTACAATTATTGTTAGAAATAAAATCAAAAATTACAAAAGCGTTATTAAATCCAATATATACAGTACGTTATTAAATCCAGTATATATTATAAGGGGTTGAATATATAATATTATTAAATCTCTCTCTCTCTCTCTCTCTCTCTCTCTTTACAGTATATATTCAATTATAATTTTAAGACTGGTTTCTGTCGTCTAAGAATCAATGATCAAATTTAATTATAAATCGAATATTAAAATAATATTTGTATCTAATTTTTTTATATAATTCAGTTTTTATAAAGTTTGAGAATTCATTACTAAAGTAAAGAATATATATTATATAATATTGAGACTGTTTTTGAGAGATAAAATATATATAAAGCATTTAGAGCGCAGATTCTCTCTTTCCTTATATATTATAGACTCCAATATATAATATATAATATAACGGAACGTCTGATAAATCCTTCAATTGTTATAACATCTAAACCGTTGACTTAAAGTTAATATATTTTCAATTATAAATTCCCTTTAAATTATAAATTTATTTCAAATTTTGTAAAGATTCGTGTTTAATTATTATTTCCACAAAAATGATATATTTTTAGACTTTTAATTTAATAATACAATTCTTTATTAAATATAAACTAACTATTGTTGTAATAATTTAAATGAAGAAGTAAATTAAATTTTAAAAATATGAATAATTTAACTGAAGATATAATTATTGAATTAAATAATAATATAACAACAAATGAAAGTTGTTTTGATTCTCCGTTAAAAGCAGTTAATAATAAAATAGAGATATTTGTTATATGTGTTCATATATTGACATCTATTTTGGCATTAATTGGCAATTCGTTGGTCATAATAGTGGAGACATTTGTGAAGCAGTCGTCAAACAATTTGCATTTATGGCTCATAAATATGGCCATTTCCGACCTTATTCTGGCCGTATTTTGCGTCCCATTTAGTTATACAGGTGTTATGTACGGCGAATGGCTGTTCCCGCACTGGTTATGTCCATTCGCACAATCAACACAATTGCTTTCCGTTTTTGTCACTTCTTTCACTCTAACCCTTATTGGAATTGAAAGGTTTGCCAATATTTTTAACATTTTACAAATCATTTAATTTACTAAATTCACTGACAAAGTAAGTTTATATTTTGAAACTAAATGTTGCAAATAATATTAAATTAATGTATTCATGTTGAATAGTTTTAGATTTTTAAAATATGAATAATGAACACATAATTAGTTTAAATAATATGCTCATTAGAATCACTTTTGGTTTTTTATTTATTTTGAATAAACATAAATTGCATTTTATACTGTATTACAGTGCAACTTTACCATAGGAAACTGACATAGCATAGATTCCTGTGAAGGGGTGTTTCTTCGAGAGGGATTTTGTTTTAAAAACATTAAAAATATTTTAAATGTAACGTATTTGTTTTCTATGGAGAATGCAGTTTTTACATAAATTATTCAAAATTCATTTCGTTTTGAAAAGTATTTCTTATGGAGAGATTTCTCCAACAAGTAATATGATTTTGGTTTATATTATATGTATAGAAAATCTACCAAATATACTTAGAGTGTTTGCTAAAGAGGGGCAATTTTCCAAGAGGTGGTTCCCACCGAGGGGTTGCACTGTACTATATTATTATATACTGTATATAATGTATATAAGAATAAAAGAAAAATTTCCATGTTAAACAATTTACATGTAATATTATATTATATAAGAATACAAACGTGCAATACATTGAAAGTAATTGAATTGACATAAATTAATATATTATACATTAGTTTATTGATAGAATAAATCTTTACATAACAACTAAGATATTTGACAGAATATGTAACCAAATATCTCACAATTTTGCGATAACTTAAATGTAATACCAAAATATGGATAAAATCCAATTTGTTATTTGATTCCTAAAACTAATAAGAATTGCGATACAAATGTTTGGCCTGGGTACGGCAAACAGTGTACTTGATTTACAACTATAATATTTTTATTTTTAAAATCAGCAAATATAACCTTAATTGCCTTTCTGGTATACCCCTAACCTAATTAAACATAATTTTACCTAATATAAAACATTAATTTAACAAAAATTTTAACAAAAATATTTTTATAATGGGGTTCTACGGGAAGTTTGGGTCCCGATATTTCGAAAACTATTTGAGGTAAAAAATTTTCGATTTCATATTCGAACTCAGCGTTGAATTCCACATAAGATTAATATGTCACATTCATAAATTACGTATTTTCGATGTGGGGTGGGGGTTAAAAAAGGGGTCCGGGAGGGGTGTGCCCAGAGGGTTTTTTGGAGGGCTATGTATGCTGATTAAGAATATATATATTATAGTCGTAAGTCAAGTACACTGTTTGCCGAACCCGGGCCCAAATGTTTTGAAGTCAAATACAAACCTCAAGTAAATACATATAAGACAAATTGATGCATGATAATTCTAAACTTAATTTGTATTCTTATTAAATAATCTGCGCTAAATGTTGTGTATTCTATGGATTGTGAATTCGCTACATTGGCATACATTTTGTAATTGACACTTGACTCTATTAAGGTTATTACGGTAATTTTAAGCTATGACAATTGTAAATCTACGATAAATTAGGCTGTATAGAGAATTTCTTTTATATACTAACAGAATAGGTTTTATAATAATAAAATTAACATATAATGCTATTTGTTTTTTCTACAAATTACTATTTACATTAAAGCTAATTAGATTTTATAATAATGGCTTTGTTAGGTATTTGGCTACTATTCATCCCTTTTCGCGTACATACTTATGGGTGAGCAGTCATTCAAAGTTGATTTTACATTTATCATGGATTTTGGGATCAATTTATTCAATCTTCTGGCTCTCAAATACTAAAATAACATCGTTTCAAATAAATAATGAGACTCACTATGAATGCAGTTATGCGGAGGGCATGACAGACAACGAGAGGAAAGTTATCGTATTTTACAATTTTGTTTGCACTTATTTGTTGCCATTTATTGTCATAACATTAAGTTATTTAGCGATTACTAAACGACTTTTAAGTGAACCCAAGACTACAGACGGAAAGATTCTCAGAAAAAACATCCAAATTCGCACCAAAGCAAAGGTGCGCTTCATTTATATAATTATAATTAAAAATTATATCAACATTACTGAATAATATTTCATTTAAAATAATATTTTTTATATACGTAAAGTCAATCCAGTTAATGTTTGCCGTGGTCATTTTATACGGAATATGTTGGACACCAATCAAATTCTACCAAATGGCCCATCACTTCATTCCGGGACTCTTTGACTTTTGCACAAAATCTCATAAGATACGATAATAACACATAATATACAAACGGGTAACCAACCGTTACACATCGTCAAAACACTTAGGGTAAGAAATAAGTAAATACTCGGTTTCAAAAGCCCATTCGTAAATTAACGACAATGTTATAATGCATGTGACAATTTTATATGTATCTTAATTTAAATTGATTGAAATACAATGGAATTATTTTAATAGCAGTAAATAATAAATATAATGACCACTAAGACGCGCAGGAGCCAGTCTACAGCCACTTTTGTATAGTGAGGTTATACTTTAGTTATAGCATGACTAATGCTATCAAATATGAATGTGTCTATAAATCGCTATATTTATAACTCATACAGTGTTGACTATTTACTATTACATTTCAACATGAGAATCCCTGATAATGACTGTAATTATTATAATATAAAAAATGGATTAGTTAACTAAATTCAAATTTTATTAATTGTAATTTTAATTTACACTATAGTAACGTAAAGCATAATGATATTTCAATTCAGCTATTTATGTAACGGTTAAATTGATGGCGTAGTTATATTAAAGATTATTACAAGACCTAAACTAAATATTGTATTCACTTATTTAGCTAAATCTACTGTACATTATACTGTATGTGTTAATTTGTTAGTGTCTTACAAATACATTGAATTTATTTAGTTTTCTTATCAAGTGATTAAATATATTTTTATACATTTAAGTGGCAATAGTTGATCAAAATGTCCTTAACTTACAAATCACGTACTAATTATATATTTTCCTTACGATTACTTTGAATTTAAGGATGACTTCAAGAAAATGTTTTTGAACAGAAGAGGACAGAATAGAAAAGCGTCTACTGTTAACAGCTTAACACTCAATACTCGCGTATAATTACTGAATACAACATTTTTTGGGCTTTAAAATAAAACACTTTAATACAACGTATTGTAAATGTATTCTCTAAATATTAAGTCTAACAAATGGTGCCATTTATTCTTTACTATACTATACTACATACTGTATATACATTCAATCAAAGTAAAATTAATAATGTTATCACCTAATATTTATTATATTATAACTATTTAATCCTCTAATATTTAATTCTTTAATAATTAGCTATTTATTCACTAAAAATGAAAATAATTAGATGGTTACTAATTAGACAATTATTGTTGATGTTGATAGGTTTTTGTTCATAAAAGTCAATTTGTAATTATAAATAAACTATTGTTGTACAAAAATACTCAAATAAATAGTTAAATATTAATTGAATGTATTGCTTTAATATTATAGTTATTTATTTATTATAAATTGTTCTGCTTATTAAAATTAAAACGTTGATTAACAAATGAATGTTAATAAATTTTTTGAATTATTTAATTGTATATCCAAACTTTATTATTTTATAATAGAGTACATTATAATTTAAATAAGTAATAGTAAATATAAAGTTTAAGCAAAGATTTAATTAATTGTTTAAAACAAATACAAAATACTTAAATAAAATGTCGGATTAATGTTAAAGACATTTAAAAGATATTTAAAAATTTAATATTTAAAAGAATAATTATTATTCCGAAGAATTCAAATGAAATATAATAACTGTTGCGATAAATAGAACAATATTATAAACACCACTGACTGCATATCCAATTTGTACATCAAAGTAATGTATAGTCCAGCCCCGAGTTATTATATATCGTATGGACTCAATGGGCAGAGATAAAGGTGCCATGTAGAATATGGTCCGCATTAATCCAGGTACTGAATCCAATGGCCAAAACACGCCGCATATCATCCACATCGGGAACACTAACCCAAATGCCATTAACTTAAAATACAAATTAATCAATTAAATTGTTGTTCTTATAGAATATTTACATTGTATTTGTAACAAAAGTATTTTAATTATCATGAAGTATATTAATTAAAAGCAAATAAGTATAAATAAAAATATATGTGACGTACGAGTGCTGCCACTTCATTGGGGGCTACGGCAGAGACAAGGAGTCCAAGAATAATACCATTGGATCCCTGAAGAAACATAAGCCAAAACACTTCGGACGCGTTGCCCATTAGCTTAACATCAAATACGATGAATGCGACAAACATGAGAAGACCCACCTGTACTAATAGGGCCAGTATTAGGATAAACATGTGTGATATAAGCACTTCAAAACTGCGGACACCCGACACAAAACTGCGCTCTAATAGACCGTCTTTCTTCTCCAATACAATCAAAAACGATGCCAACAGTAATGGTGTGGAGTATATAATGGCCACTATAGCTCCCGGAGCTATCGAATTAATTAATGAGTACTCAATAGTGCCGTAAATGGGTTCCTGTGTAGCGATTGGTAGTGAAACAGTCGCAGGATTTAAGCCAATAGACGTAATATATGTGGCCAGGAATTTGTGATACGACTCAAACAGTGATTGATAAATGAATTGTTGAATAAAGCTATCCGAATGGTCCGGATATAAGGCTATCTTACTGTCCTCTATATCCTCGTCGGTCATATCATTTGGATCCGTCGCTCTTATATCAAACGCTTCCGAAAAGTTGCCCGACATTGAAATTGCATACCTGTCCAGAAATACATCATTCAATTAATTATTAATGAAAGCGTAAATGGTGTGAGTGAGTGAGTGAGAGAGAGAGAGGGAGACAGAGAGAGA